CTAGAGAATTCCAATGTTTGGAATAGCCAAAATTCACAATTCCAATGTTTGGAGCCGCCAAAATTTAGAATTCCAATGTTTGGAAACGCCAAAATCTAGAATTCCATTGTTTGGAGAAGCCAAATTCACAATTCCAATGTTTGGAAAAGGAAAAGTCCAGAATTCCAATGTTTTGCTGAGCCAAAATTCAGAATTCCAATGTTTGGAAAAGCCAAACTTCACATGCGTTCCTCCATACTAACTGAGTGCCTTCCTCCATATATAATTGAGTGGATAGTCGTTTCTTTTCATATAGAAGAACACAATAGAAACAATAGGGTTGCCTAGAGTTGCTCGTTAAGTAACTTTAGCCCGGAGAAGAGAAGCGATCACCTAACAACGCGAGAAACGGCTTACTATATCTTATTTAGCGCTAAAAATCGATATATAAACAAAACACACACATGCGTACACAAAGTAGAGCTGAAAACTCTTTGTATCAATTTTGTCTGACTATTACAACACCGTTTTCTCCGTTCTATCTCAAGGAAATGAAAAACTATTGAAGTCTTGTCATTTTCACGCGCCGTTAGTCAGTTAATTATGCGAGTTAACAACCCGACATTTGCATTTGATCTTAGGGTTTAAAGGGTTAATTGGAAAAGCCAAAATTCAGAATGCTAATATTTGGAAAAACAAAAACACTGAATTTAAATGTTTGAAAAAGAAAACTTCCAGAATTCCATCCAGCGATAAGTGTTAGAGAAACATTGCGTTATCCACTTGACGGAAATTTTTCCAGTGGACAGCGTTTTCCACCTTTCCAGAATCTGGGACGTGAAGTAATATATCAAACATGAGATGCAGTGTTTCATCACCAGATGAAACACCGAGAAGAGAGTTGAAAATACGACGCGCAGCGGAGTATTTTTGACGAACTTCGAGGTGTTTCATCTGGTGATGAAACACTGTGTCGAATGTTTGATATTTCTTCTCAAACGAAATCATTTTTGAAGGAGAAATTAAGGATGCAAATACTAAGCAGTGTTTCATCCGATTTCCAAACACTCATTAAACATTAATTTCCTTTGTATTTTCTTAATGAATTATTAATGAGTTTGAGAATGTCAAATAAAGGTAGCTGAAAGAGAAAGTTTAGGCACTTACTAGCATGACTGACCAATATTCAATTGCTGACATAATAAATAAGGGCTAAAACCCTCTTAGATTGGAAACAGAAATGAAACGAATATAGTAATTGACTCCGATAAAGATAACGTCTTCCGGTAGTAACATAACCAAGAATTCGATGAAGTGATCAAATACTGATTTGTGACATTATCTTTAAAACAAACTATAGCTTTAGCTTTAGCTTGTATGTTTTGTTTTCCAGTGAAATCTTAGGGGAATTTTACCCCTTTTCTTTTTATAAATCATGCTTGCATATGCACGGTAACAAAACGAAATTGAAGTAGTTCTCTAGAGTATCACATGACTCACATTGGGAAAACAGAACTTACATGATGAGAATCCCTATTGACCTATTATCATATACATGCATCTAAATACTATTCTCTTATTGGTTAAACCTCACTTGTATCGTCAATGCTACTGGTAAGAATTAACGAGACATTGACAATTCTCGGAAAAAAAACTCCCTTAATAACCGCCTGTGTTAATTATAAAGGCGTTGCCCATGACTCAATATTCAGTGTGTGTTGATCTTATTCTACGTAAACTTGGATCAGTTGGTTAGGTTTGCTTTAACAGCTCCGGAACTGTTAAATTGTATCTCCCTACTTCAAGAAGTTTTGTTGAAGTCCGATTTTGCCAGTTAAAGGTAAGAATAAGGATCTTGTTGACTGCAGCGTTTATAGTGAAACCTCGTTATAACGAAGGGGCAAGGACCAGGCAGAATATGTTCGGGAGAACGAGGTTTCGCATATCGAGATTCTTTTCCATATACTTTATCACTGAGCCTCTCTATGATTACCTGCAGACAGCGATTTCGTCGCGCGTTTTCCATTACACTGCAAATCGTCGGTTTTTTTCGGGCGAAATCGTTGCATATCAGACTGATATCAAGAATTTTTTTGCGTGGTAACGCTACCAACCAGCTCAGTGCAACCCGACGACGACGGAAACGAGAAAACTCTGAACGTGCAGCGCACTTTTTTGTTAGGTTTTTTTGGCATCATTGCAGGACTAACGTTGTCAAACCTTCTCGAAATAGTAATGCGATCGTCGCGACTTCAATTTCGTCGGAAATACCCATACAGAGGCTCATTATTAATGGGGAAAAAATATCGTTGGTTAAAGCGGGGACTTCGTTGTGTAGAGGTTCGTTATATCGAGGTCCCACTCTACGTATAGTTCAACAAACTAGCAGGATCAAGTCTAAGGCATTACGGGCCCAGCTTAGTGATAAACGTGATAGTATTGACACCATCTTTGTGTTTTGCATTTTGCGTGTTGTCGCAAATATCAGGTTGTTGTAGCTTTGCCCTGGAATAGACTGAATAGCGACATCACATGATTCTCCAGTAATGATATTTAAACCGCGCTTAAATTGCGAACCCAAGTTTTAATAAATTCTTATCGACTTTGAATAACTCTTTCCAAGAATAAGGTATCGAAAAACTAAAAAGGTCATTTTAACATACAAATTCACATTCAACCCTTCTTTTATTCGCCTTAATTAACTTTCGCTTGACCTCCATGCAGCCAGATTGATACTACTTTCATCTGTTTTCTAATTTGGAGGGATGAATTAGCAGTGTATTCAGACTTTTGTTTCATTTTCCTCATACAGCATTCACTCAACAAAACAGGACTTATTTCTGTTTCGATCGTGTCTGCTGATAACTATTTGTATCAGATCGCTCGGCTCGGAGCCGGTCCTTCAAGACTCCTTCAAGTTAACCGTACTTTAATTATTAAATTATTTTCCTTACGCTTCCGTTGGTTATTCTATACCCAGTGTGGCTCTCAGCTCTATACTATGTTTATACTTCGAGTTGGAAGTATTTACGTGTTAAAAAAGAATGCCGAAAGTAAGCCTCGGGACTTTTTTGAGGGACTTTTTGCACGAAAAGAGATAATCAGGATTATCAAAAGTAAATCGGCTGGGCTTCTAACCAGGGGCACCCAACGAGAATATAGTTCAAAACTACTTAAACATAGCGCTGTTGAACGTATTTTAGTAATTTAACGGTAGTTTATATTTAAAATATAGGTATATTTTTATCCCCTAAAAATTTTTCATCTGTTCGGATTTCCTAGCTGAAAGTCTAGTGATCCGAAAGTTATAGAGATTAAAACTTGCCTTTTCGAAAATTTCAGCCAGGTAAAAGGCTCCCGAAAATTCTAGGTGACCTTTTTAGGGTAAAAATCAGTTAAAATGGGCAATTATGCCATTTTTTTTTTTTGGGGGGGGGGGGGGGGGGGGGGTTCGGCTGGGCTTCTAACCAGGGGCACCCAACGAAAATATAGTTCAAAACTACTTAAACATAGCGCTGTTGAACGTATTTTAGTAATTTAACGGTAGTTTATATTTAAAATATAGGTATATTTTTATCTCCTAAAAATTTTTCATCTGTTCGGATTTCCTAGCTGAAAGTCTAGTGATCCGAAAGTTATAGAGATTAAAACTTGCCTTTTCGAAAATTTCAGCCAGGGAAAAGGCTCCCGAAAATTCTAGGTGACCTTTTTAGGGTAAAAATCAGTTAAAATGGGCAAATATGCCATTTTTTTTTTTTGGGGGGGGGGGAGGGGGTGGTCGAAAATCCTAGGAGAGGCAGGCAAGCAAAAAATTTAACAACAAATGTTCCGAAAATTCTAGATCTCAAATCGTCTTCCGAACAGATAATTTCCAAAAATTGTCGTTGGGTGCCCCGTCTATACCTGCAGCAGCATGGAGGGATTTGAAACAGCACTTCCTCCGTGTGTATGTATGTACGGTCGAAGCTCTCGTAACCGATCACCTCGGAAATTTGAAAAAGTGGTCATAACTAGAGATGCTCGCTTACGAGAGTGGTCACAAGGAGAGTTTCGACTGTATATGGTGAAGTATGGGCATTAATTAGGGAAAACGGAATTGACTAATCCACCCTTAAACATGATAGGACTTAAAACATTAATTGGTATTAGCTACCGTACACGTAACTTACAATTTATCGTACCGTAGTTTACACTTATTAGGAAACTCAAAATTTATGGGAATACCCCCAAACGCGTGGACGCTCATGTCCTGTCTTCCAAAAAGGTATTGATCAATAGACCTTGTCACGGCTTTGGAAGCCATACAGACATACAGTGTTTGTATGAGAATCGAATGTCGAATAATTTCCGTAAAACGGGTGTTCCGAAAAAATATATATTTATATATATATGAGTTGTAAACTAAAGCTTCACTCCTAAGGATTCTACTGAAAAAATATGAGGGCGTTACATACAGCTACATGCACTTTAACCACTTTTAAAAATTTCTGCCTACTAAAATTTCCCGGGAAAATTGCGGGACAAATACGTGGAAAATCTAAAGCAAGCTGGTCTGGAGAAATTTAAGCACAGGTGCGGCCCCAAAAATTTGTTAATCCTTTGCTGTTTATCTTTAGTTTACAATTCATATTTTTTTCAGAACAGCCGTTTTACGGAAATTATTCGACGTTAGATTCTCTTACAAACACTGTAATTTCTCAAGCGCTTGTCTACTCGTCAAGATTGAAGGTCTATGGCATTTTATACAAGGGAAATTCCCAAAAATAAACCCCAAAGGCCTTGTATTGGGGGGAGCTTAGTATGGAGGTGTTTTATTGGCCCTAATGCGTTTTTCGGTTTTTTTTTTCGAGGGAGGGGGATGTTTGGCGAGGCCTATTTTGGAAATTTGTCGGAGCTTTTTCTGTTTCTATTTTTTCATTCACGTTGTTATGTTCTCTCCTCATCAGAATATTTTCGTAGAATATTCGTTTAGAAATATTATAGTTCAAGTATAACTTTAATATTGCAATAATTCAACATAATTAGCCATTGACAGAATCAAGTTGTCGAGTATCCGCGAAATCCTTGGCTTCATGGCTTTCTGGCTAGTCGAAACTGCCCCGAGTGACATCATATCACCCGCGGAAGAAAAACTGGACTTTGATGATGCTACTCTACGAGGTAAGGAACGATTTTTTCCTATTCAGATCCCAAGCGTTGTAAAATATCAATTAACCTTAGGAATGAAATTCAACATATCACTCGCTAGCGCACTTGCGTAGCACTTGCTAATAGTTTCACTGTTCAGTGTGGGAGAAGCGTTGCGTGACAAAACAAAGAACGGCTGTGGAGCAGACTACGTTATCACGTGTTTCATTCAAATTATCTTTATGAACGAATCAGTTTCGAGTAGATAATTATTACTCGACTGTTTTCATTCCACCTTTTCTCTTTTTCTCTCAGGGTCACCCAATGACTTTTTTACTGATAAGCCTGACTATGATAAGCGTTCCCACTCGTCTAAGATATCAGCAGTTTTTCTGCTAACTTACGTATATAAGATTTACGGAGGGTGGTTTTTTCACATTTTTATTACTAAAGGTTTCCTGAAAGTTTCGGTATAGATACAAAATGTCCTCCTTAATCTTTTAATGAAAGTGCGCCTACTCAATGCCCTCAAACTTTCTACCAGACCTATCAGGGTAGCTAACAGTTTCGACAAGAGACCTCATTTTTCTCCCTTGGTTTTGAATGAGACAGAAGAGGGGCCTAAAACTTTTGAGACGACCATAGTCCCTTAAGACATCTGAATAGATAAATAGTTTTGAGGGCAGCTCCAAATGAATCAAACAGGTCTTAAAAGCATAGAAAAAACCATTTAAGACACTTTTGACGTACTTGGAAACATTGGGTCGTAGGGTCTCGTAGGGTGACCCCTTTTCGCTTGTGTTTGTTACGCGAGCTATTTCAGTCACGCATGACCGTAGCCTATTGATAAGAACAATTATAGTACGATGCACATTTTTCGTCCCTTTCATTGGCCGAGAGCCTAGCACGTGACCTGCAAATAATTGTCTTCAAATAATGGTCTGCTCATGCGCAATGTCGTCCAACTGTGTTTGGCTGCAAATAATATAACAATTCTGCTCATTCTTAAATGAAACCCGCTCTTGCGATCGCTCTTGTGTGAAAATGGTGCGCAAAATGGCAGATTTGAACTACTTGAAAATAAGACATCACGTCTTTACCACATTCGACGCACGTATAAGAAATGTAAAATGTAAAAATAAAAATGTTTAAAATCCTCGAAATATATTTCGCTCTTCGAGACTCGTCAGTCAGTACTTCAAGTTATTCAAACACATTCCTAGTCTCGGCATTTATAATTTCTCAAAAATGGCAGATATTCTTTAAAAAACGAACTCGGTGACCGAATGATAAAACAATGATTGAACTAGGTTACCGCAAATTATCGTGATTTGTCAGTGACTCGCAGATTAATTATTTGCCGCAGCCTTCAGCCTCGGCAAATTATTTATCTGCTCGCCACTAACAAATCACGGCATTTTGCTCAACCTTGTCCAACAATTGTTAAATGCTTACGAGAAATGTTAACTTAGGAAGCTTTTTAGTAAAACATGGGCCAGTATTTTGGCTTGGTCAATAACGGCTGGAGTATGCCAACTTTTTTATTTCAGCTATAGCAGAAGTGTACAGTGATGAAGGAGACAAAGAATTTGAGAAAGGAGAATTCCACAACGCTGTGTATTTCTACACGAAAGGAATTAAAGTGAGATGCAAGGATGACGAGCTAAATGCAAAGCTGTACCGGAACAGGGCGTCAGCTTATAAACAAATAGGTAAGATCTGCGTACGTTTTCCCGTCTAATTTGTACTTTATCTCATGAAGCAAAAGATTTTTATAACATGTAAATCGTAAACTGCCGCTTATAAGTGCTGGGTTTATACATCTTCGCAAGGGGTTTTAGGTGGGCTTACAAACGGAGGGGCTATATCCGAAGGGGTGTGTAACTGGAATAGAAAAGGCACTTCAAAACAAGCTATAGCAGTGCTGATCAAACTACGTTTTGCATTACTGGTTTTAAATTGATAAGCTTCATAACGTCATAATAAATCGAATTCATTTCAATATAGCTGGAAAAGAAGCAAGAGGTGGTTATAACCGAGGGACTTATAATTGGATGTATTTTTTTGTTGTTGTCTATTGGTACATGAGCCCTTTATTTTCTTGGGGGGGAAGGGAGGGGGGCTTGTAAGCGGCAGTTTAGTTTTTAAGGTAAGCACATAGACATCTTTCATAATAGCGGCCAATAGGCAAGTTTCGTATTCCCCGACGGCCCCGGGACGAGCACGATTGCGAGGCTAATGCAGGTCAACTTCTATACAAAAACAAAAACAAACATCGGTAATTTGCCGCGGAGTCGCTGGAAAACGATAGAAACCTTAAAAATGGTAAGCAAAATTGCGGGAAAAGCTGATCGTACTTAATAGAAGAAAGAAAAAAGCGACGAAGCCAAAAGAAGAAGTAAATTTTTAAGCTTGAAAAGAGTAAAGTTTGTTAAAATGACAATATTCTGTTCCCTTTAATTATCTTACTTCTTTGTATTCTATTCTACTCTTGCGTATATCTGTAAAATGGAGTTTAAACTGCTCAGTATATCTTCTGTATAAAATTATGTGTTCGAGTTCTTGTCGAGTGAAATGTGCGTACGTTTTTCTTTATGTGACTGAATATTAGTTTGATAAATAATGTAACCTAATGTAAGATTACGTATAAATAAACTAATACGGTTTTAGTCATCTTCGTTTAAACTGACTTAACTTCCTTACGGTGCAAAGAATTTATGCAGAGCGTCTGCCCAGTCGGTATATATTTTTTTCAAATACACAAGATTTCGCATTCGCTCCGTTAGAAAAAATGTCAATTAAAAAGAAGGTTTCAGTTTAACTTGCAAGCTTTCGACAAGTGCGTACACTCCAATGGAAGGTATGGCTTAAAGAAGTTTTAACCAGCACTGAAAAAACAAAACAACATTAAAATGGCTGCAGGGTATAACCTTTTTTCAAGGATTTTGAAACCATCTTCGCATTCTTATTGAACTCACTCACCGCTGTTTGAAACAGTGATTTCTCAATCCTGTACGTAAGTTTTGAGACCTCCAAAACCTTTTAACGTTTCAAATTTTTCTTTTTTTTCGCCAACTCAGCCGCAGTTTTCATATGTTTGTTTGTCTTCTTGGTGAGAAGTGACCCGCATTAGCCTCGCTTTCGCGCAAAAACAAGCGCTCGTCCTAGGTCGTCCGGGAATACGAAACTCGCCTATTAATACATTCTTTTTATATGTATGATAATTAGCATTTCTGACCTCGTTAGCATGTGCAAAATACAAAAGAATTCTTACTTTCAAACGAGGTCAGAAAGGCTAATTATCATACATCGGAGGTTAGAAAGACTAATTCTCATTGATACATATAAAAGAATGTATTAATAAGCCGCCATTATGAAAGAGGTCTATTTGTAGAAGAAGTAACGATGCTTTTAAGGTATTACTTTTAGAAGAAGTGTTCTGAATTACAGTATACACGATAAAAGAGTAAAAACTAGATTACAAATAAACGGTACAAGAACAATTAAAAGCTATTAAATTTCATGTTTGAGCTTAGAATTAAAATATGATTATAAAAAAGTCCGTGACAATGAAACGAATAGAGCTGTTGTTGACGTGTATTAGTTAAGAGCCAGGTTTCATCTCATTTTACTCATTTCGTTGACTTTACACCGTGTTTTCCATTGCCAGGGAATGTTACGGACTCACTCGATGATGCAGAAGTTGCCGTTTTGTTGAAGCCCCAGCTAGTAGAAGCTTGTGAAGATGGTATGCTTTTTTGAGGGTTCATTCAGTCAGGGAGCTGTAATTATCATTATAACGATTTAGGAGCACATAAAGACGATGTAAGCAGCGCTCCAAGCTACGACGTTTTGGTCAACATGGCGAGTAGAAAACATCTGTAAAAAGAAAGGACCTTATGGTCTTTATATGAAAAAGTTTGAGTGAGATAAACATTTACATTCAATACAATTTACGGTCTATTTTCAATACAATTTGCTTATTTCGCACTCTTTTCCGGGTGTTAAATAAAGCCTTGAAATTTCGCGTGCACGTACTTCCGAAAATGGGTAGCCATTTCGACTCTTTCAAATCTTTCATGCAATACTGCACAAAGTGCCTGTTTTGTTTTTGTTTTCTGGTGACCAATTAGTTTACGTCTCGCAACCGTGTTATAATGGCGACTTTGAAAAAGAATTGAGCTTGTCAAGCTCAATTCTTTTTTCAAAATGGCTGCCTTCGTGGAAAAAAGAGTTGTTAAAGGGGTTAGGTAGCTACATCAGAATTCTTTCACTAATTAGTTGTTAGTCAAAAAAGGGTAAAACATTGAAAATACAATAACCGACCGTGAGCTAGTTCCTTACGAATAATCCACAAAACTAACATTTCAGTTTTCCTTTTCGATACCGATAGCCTGCGCCGAAGACGAAACTAAACTGTGGTTAAGTCCGTCTGCGAAACAGCGCCGAAATCCTTTGTCTGGGCCATCAACTGTTTACCAGAATTTGAGAACGCGCTATGATTGGCGTATTAAAAACGCCATGGTCGACTTGCCAATCAAGATGAAAGGAACTGATTTGAAACGCTCCCCCGGTAATTCGTTGAGTCCGGTGGGGGTCCAGAAGCTGCTTCGCAGACGTTACTAACCGAGGTTAAATTACGTCTGCGATGCAGGCTACCATGCCGACCATCTTGCAACTGTTAACTTTTCACATAGATTATTCTCCCTTTCTTTTCATCGACCGCCATAAATTTTTTGTCATGCTAAATGAGCACTTAAGGAAACATCGAGCATTTAGTGGCAAGAGTTGAAAAATCGATTTTTTTAATTTTTTTGCCCATAGATCGCTTTTAGGTAGAAAAAGAAAGGTGATATAAATTGTCCCGCCAAAAAGCGTTTTATCAGTTTTATTTGGGAGAAAATAAGAATATCGGCTTTCGAGCTCAGAGTCTCAAAGTGGCCTAATTTTTAACTTGAAATTCGTTACCATCAACTTTCCTGGCGTTCGAAAACAAAGCTGCACGGAGAAATTTGGACACTTCCCATCGACAGAACAACTCTTTTTCTTTCACTAGAAGATACTTTCAGGGAAATAGCGAGACTCGTAGAACTGAAATAATTCCAAAATGAGGAACAAGTTTTCAAGATAACAAAAAGTTAAGTCTATTACTCATTTTCGACCTCAATATTTAACGTGTGATATAACTCCAAATTTTCTTCATCCTATTTAAATCACATATTTCGATATTCATCTTAAACATACTTGGGAATTGGCTTGGCTATCTATTAACAAAAAAAATGAAAGAAATTGATTTTTCAACTCCTTCCACGAAATCAAGATTTTGCCCGATTTTTCCTGACCGTCGCTCTTAATTTACTTTGGAATAAAAATCAATATGTTCTCTTTTTCTGTAGATCTGGGGTTTTATTTGGAACGCGAGGACTTGGAGGAAATGTATCAACATTTTAAGAACGAGGCAGACGCTAAGTTTAAATCCGGACATTACCAGGAGGCCATGCTTTTGTATGGATCGTGTCTTAAAATTGCTCAAAAGCTGGGAGAAAGAATTCAAGAAGGAGTGGCAATGGCAAATCTTGCTAGCTGCTATTTCGGCGTGAAAGACTATAAGAAAGCTATAGAATTCTATGAACTCTCCATGAATTTTGTGGAAGAGTCAGACAATGATTATAAGGATTTTGAAGTTCACATTTATACGTGTCTTGGTGATGCGCATTTTAAACTTAAAAATTTCAAGAAGGCCATAGACAACTATCAAATTGGTTTAAAAATTATCCAGGAAACAGGAGATGTTGCTGAAAGAGGAAATATGTATAAAAAACTTAGTGAAACTTATTCTAGAACTGAAGATTACAAATGGATGATACATTACCAAGAACTGCGTCTTAAAGCTTCTAAAGAAATGGGAGACAGAACTGCACAACGCAACGCATATTGCCAACTTGCAGCCGCTTGTTACTATAGCAAGGATTCTGAGCGGGCAATACAATTTTGTGAACTCTATCTGAATGATATTAAGTTACCAGCAGAAAGATCTGAAGAAGGAATCGTCTGTTTAATTCTCAGCAACGCTTGTCTTAAAACAGGTGACTTCGAAAGAGCTGTAGCCTACCGACAACGTAGTCTGGCTCAATTAGGGGACAAGACAAGCCAAGGTGACGCATACAGTACTATCGGAAATGCATACCGCGATCTTGGTGATTCAAAGAAAAGTATGGAATGGTTCAAGCAGCATCTCATCTTTGCAAAAGAAAATGGCGACAGACCCGGAGAAGGACAGGCGTTGGTAAATATCGGTGTCGCGCACTTGAGGCTTGGAAATTTTAAGGCTGCAATAACAGACTTTGAACAGTGTCTAGAAATTGCCAAAGAGATTGGAGAAAAAACTCGAGAAGCATCTGCCCTTGAGGGTCTTGGCCTGGCACATGACTATCTCGGTCATTTCAAAGCAGCTATGGAGTTCTTTGAACTCGAGTTACGACTAGCTCAAGATACGGGTGACAAGAAACTCGAAATAAGTTCGTATTGTAATCTTGGAAATACATGTCTCCACCTAGGTAACTTTAAGCAGGCCTTGGTCTTCCACACCCAACTGTTAAACCTTGTAAAAGAATCAGGAGACAGGAAAGGAGAAGGAGTCGCATCTGGCAGTCTTGGTAATGTTTATTACAAGCTTGGATTCTTGAAAGAAGCAATTGAAAACCACGAGCACCAGCTAGAAATTGTGAAAGAGCGGAGAGACAGAGAGGACGAAGCAGTAGTTTATTGTAATCTTGGAAACGATTACAGAAGCCTTGGAAACCTGCAAAAAGCTAAACACTACTACGAACGGAATTTAAAAATCGCTAAAGAAATTAAAGCAAAGGCTGTGGAGGTAGGAGTCTACGCTAACCTCGGTATTGTTTACCGTAATATGAAAGATTTCGAAAAAGCAATAGAAAACCACAACAGGAATCTTCAAATATGCAAAAAAATGGGAGACAGGCCTGGGGAGGGACGGGCCTATGGAAATCTTGGACTCACTCATGGTGATCTTGGAGACTTTGAAAAAGCCCTTGAATATCACAAACTTTGTCTTGAAGTTGCTAAGGAAGTAGAAGATAAAGCTTGCGAGGGATACGCGCATGGGAACACTGGCATCACATACCTCGCACTAGGTGATTGCGAAAGGGCTTTACAGTATCTTGAATGTCAGAGGAAAATTGCCATTGAGGTGGGAGATGAAATAGGACAAGTACTCGCTAATTATCATATAGGATATGTCTTTGAGTCAACGGATTCTCTTTGTAAGGCTCTTCATTGTTTTGAATCCAGTGTAAGAATGCTTAATGATATGAGAACGCGTCTGCTGTCAAACGAGGAGTGGAAAATTGGCCTGAGAGACGTTTATAAAATGGTTTATGCAGGTTTGTGGAGAGTTCTGATTAATCAAGAAAAAATCACGGAAGGATTAATTGCTGCTGAGCAAGGACGCGCACAATCCTTAAAAGACCTTATGGAATCGAATTATGGCTTGAAAACGGCTAATGGTAGACGCACAGCGCAGGAAATGTCAATCAATGACACATTAAGCTGCGTTTCATCAGTTATAGTTTTTACAGCCAAATGCAGCCACCTCACTTGCCATTGGGTTTTGCAAAAAGAGAGTGTTTGTCTAAGGAAACTATCGATTGCATACAATATACAATGGATGCTAGAAGTTGCGCGTGAGAAGATTGGCGTGAGAGATGGCGCACAGTGCGAGGATCGGTCACTGGACAGGTTACGAAACAACGAAGGGGAAAGTGAAGGGTGTGTTCAGAGGCGTCCGGCTGCACTGCCCAATCAGGATAATCCGTTCAGAACATTGTATGATTTGACTATAAGTCCTATCATTGATTTAATTCATGGCGATGAGCTGATCGTAGTGCCTGAAGGTCCCTTATGGTTGGCCCCCTATGCTGCATTCATGGACCCGAATTCGAGATACCTCAGTGAATCATTTCGAATTCGTTTTATTCCCTCTCTGCTCAGTTTGAAACTAATCTTGGATTGTCCAGCAGATTACCACGCAAAGAACGGTGCTCTGCTCGTAGGAGATCCTTGGGTAGAAGAAGTTAAACTAAAGCAACTCCCATGTGCAAAGAAGGAAGTGGAGTTAATTGCTGAAACTCTTCACACTACACCCCTCACTGGTAAAGAGGCGACGAAGGATGAGGTGCTTAAACAGCTCTCCAATGTTGCACTAGTTCACATCGCAGCTCATGGTCGAATGGAAACAGGAGAGATTGCGCTGTCACCAAATCCTACACGAGCATCTGAGAAGCCCAGCGATGAAGACTTTCTTCTAACAATGAGCGATGTGTTGAATGTCAGGCTGCGAGCAAGACTAGTTGTTCTAAGTTGTTGTCACAGTGGTCGTGGGGAGATCAAGGCAGAGGGTGTGGTCGGCATTGCAAGAGCTTTTCTTGGAGCTGGTGCTCGTTCCGTTCTGGTGTCACTTTGGGCCATTGACGACGAGGCCACACTGGAGTTCATGAAATATTTCTATCAGCATTTAGCGGAAGGAAAGAGCGCAAGTAAATCTCTGAGTCAAGCCATGAAGTTCATGAGAGAATCGGACGAGTTCAGCGACGTGAAGTACTGGGCACCGTTTGTTCTCATTGGAGATGATGTCACTCTAGAATTTCAAGGGAGCCACGAGACGTTTTCCTCGTAAATAGGTCCCAGTTGTTCAAAGGGTGGATAACCCTATATGCACTGGATAAATTCGGTGGATAACGCAATCGGTCTCCTTAATACTTATCCAATGGATAGTGGTTTATCCCGTCGATAGCGCTATCTAACTTTCGAACTACCAGGGCCTGATATTTGAAGTTCAATGACGACTTCGCCTCTCACTGGGCATGTTTACTGTGCTCCCTGGAACAGCTTACATGTAATGAGCGTAGCTTGTGAAGTTGACTCCCCGTGCATAAGAGTACTTTTTCATACCTTCTGTATACGGCGAAAGTGGATCAAGAGCTACTAAAGCCCATAAGGAGAATGGGATTACCAGGCAGCTTACGACGATAACTAAGCTTTTAACTGTGCGCCCATTGTTATATACAAACATTTTGGTACTATATCTGTTAAGTAAATGTCTGTGTTTTCCCCAGTCCTTTTAATTAGTAGTTTGTAAGAGCTAATGTTGAGATCTCATTATTTTTTCTGGACAGTCCGATACTATGCAAAACTAAGGCACCTCCTAACACGAAAATATTTTGGATGTAGAAAATTGTGGAATATTCTTGTTTCGTCTTGCTAGTTATTAGAGACCTTTAGATTCTAAGACGAGTGCGAGACAACGCGTAGGATATTTTCTCAGTACTAAGTAGGGCTTGCGCGTGAACCAGCGTCATTTTGGCGGGAAAACGTGGTAGCCGTCGTCTCTCCACTACGAGTTTTAGCGAGGATGTAGAAGTGGGGAAAACAAGTTATCAAATGTTAGAAGTTTTATAATTTTGCGATCGGGAGAGGGTGTAACCTCCTTCACTAAAGGTAACAGTGCTACCTTTTCTAGTTAAAAAATGGTAAATGAAGCTTTCTGGGGAGTCTATTTTGAGAATACGCGAAAAAACTTTACGTCAAATCTCGTACTCGTAGTCGTGCTCGTCCTTGAATCTAAAGGTCTCTATTAAAGTTTGTCGTGATAACATATGACCTGCGGTTGAACTACTTTTGATACCGAGCCATAATTAACGTGTTGGGCTGTGTATGGCGTTAATTCTGTAAAGTCTTCATTCTCAATAGATACATTAAAAGTTATCGTATGATGACTGAATCGCTAAGTGTCGATCATTGCTACAAAATTGTTGTACACCATTGTATATCTTGTCTTGTCCCGCCTCGGTTAGGTTCGTGTCTTTTTGCAGGGTCAAGAATACGTTGTAACTGGCCGATTTAATTCAACAGATACACTATCCATTATTGGTGTTGTCAAAACCAGTGGCAGAGCCCGGGGGAACTCCCCGTAATGGCCTATACGGGGAGGGAGGGGGGCTCCGCTCGAAACCGGTACCTTTTTAAGACCTCAGTATATGAGGGTGTAGGGATTTCACTAGTTTAAGTAGATAAAAGGGTCAGGAAATCTGCCATTTCTATCTGTAAACAGACCTAAAAGGGCTAACAGAATGATTTTGTGGCTGTGAAAAAGTTGTAAAAATTTCCTGGTTTTGTGATTTATTCATATTTTAAAGACAGTGCGTTTACAACAAGTAAAAGGGACGCAAAGTTCTGTACTGGCTATGTGAAAAGGGAACCATTTGTCAATGGGAGGTATAAGAAGGAAAGGGGTACTTTTATTTGTCAAAAATGATATATAAAAGGGTAGGGGGAGCCTCCTCGTATAAAATTTTGTTCAGTAACCTTCCCATTTTCCTCAGGCATAGCAGAGCAAACAGTTAAAAAATATATATAACTTCCTCAGATACATTTTGGTATTCTGTGATAACCTGTTTATTATACAACCCGATGTTTTCCCTTCTCACGTAGCCCGGGGGATTGACTGAAAATATTAATCGCATTTACTTTTTGAATGGCAAATGAAGAATTCCTGGGCATTACCGAGGTCACTGGCCAAAAAAATTACCGAGACAATAAGGCTTCAGAACCCTTTGAGGTAGTCTTTGTCTTGATTCCGGCTTAGTCTTGACGAATACGAAAACGACGCTCGTCTCGTTCTCTTGTTCAACACCATGGAATCTCGGGGGAGTACTGTTGGGATTTCTTTGTGGGGGTGTGCCGCCCGGTTCTCCAAATCCTGACTCTATTTCAGACCAAAAAATGTGATTTTTCACACCCGTTTTCAGACCTTGCCTCTAAGAAATTATTTCATCATTTCATAGATTGAAACGCGAACAAAATCGATTTCTTAAAAATCCATTTCGAATTCGCATATTTCGCTTTCTTTCTTACTCATATGGAATTGAAACGACAAATACTTTTATTCCCTCTCATTGCTTCCCTCGAAAACCATATCCGATTCCAGGCCAAAATGGGCAAAGTCTGTACCCGTTTTCAGACCAAAACAGCGCAAAAACGATACCCTTTGGAACGGCACATACCTATGTGGCGTATGGAAGGAAGTGCCCCACTGGACATTGAATTCCCCCGAGCAGTGGATGGGACGTTGTCTCGAGCAAGGAAATCACTACGACGATTTTAACTCCGACATCATCAACAACAACAACAATGAGCTTTATTTGCATGACCTGACCATACAAGTACGTACAGTCTTGCAATAGCTGATCTATTCTATTCGTAGTTTTTCCACAGGTACCCGAAGCTCACGAAATATGTGTAGAGGGAATAACGGCAGGACTGAAACTCACTGGAATCGCTCCCTAAAACGGCCAAAAATGCTAAGAACATACCATACATAAACCAAGGTGAGAAGTCAGTCTGATGTATTTCTATTGCTATTTTTGCCCCTCAAATAGTATCGCTGAAATACAAACTATCTCTGAAATCCCTTTTCAAACCCTCATAATTATTCTTTGTTACGCAACAGCGATTTCCAATTGTGAGCTTGGGGTACCTGTGGTCTTACTTCCGGCTTTTGTTGAATACGCAAGGGCCAAAACCCTTCCAATACTTTCAGTTTCGTGTCGTTATTTACACATTTGAGGAATTTCACTTGTTCAATATAATTTCACTTAGTTGTGACAAGGGTAGCACGCAATATCAACATTGAAGTTAAGGTATAATTTCAATTATGTATTTTTTCGTCCCTCCTCGTCCTCTCCTACAGCGAACATTTCTTCGAGGAATGGCTGACACGTTGTCCTGAGCCAGCCTGTTTTCGACTAAACGGTTTCTTGATGATTAATGTTCGCTGTTGCAATTGGTTTCAGGATATTGGCCACGAATTCATCTTGCGTAAGAGGTATGTTGTTTGTCCTAAGTACTGTTAAAAGTGGACCTAAGATAGACGCTCTACGAAGCTTTACTCTTTCCCTCAAGTCGCTGTCTTCGAACCGAAAGGCTTCATATAATAGGCGAGCTACTGGACGTGGATAACGGCGAAAATGCCGTGATCAAGCTAAAATTCTGCCAAAGGCTACAATTTTTTAAAAGGCATTTACTTTTCAAGCGGCTACATAAAATTCAAAGTCCGAAAATAATCCTAGAATAAAACTGAAAGTGAAACCTCCGTACGCAAGCGACCCGGCCGCAGCCACCTTTTGTCCATGCCGACCAGAGTTCTCTCTTTATTTCATCACCTCTATTGAGTGGCCAGCAAAACGTTTGATACACTTAATGTGTTAAATCGAAGCAAAAAGTCTTTAAAATATCGACTTTGTGTGTGTTTTGTCTTAGGTTGTTGTCGTAGTATACTGGCGAGGTTGAAAATGTGTTAATTCTGTTGCATCCCATTAAATGGTATTGTCCACTGATTGTTCTAGTAAGGTTTGACTTTGCTTAAAAGCCGCAACGAAAAAAGTAACAGTGAAGCACTTTGCAACACATTCAAGGTTTAATTTTTTGCTTTTTGTTGGTAATAAGTTAAATGGAAAAGTGACTAGAATTATCATCTGCGAGAAAATGTGATTACAAGATCGTATCCATTTCTACGAAAAGCAGAAACATGGTTGCATTTGCAAATAAAATGGTGTCAGTGAACAGATATTTATTAACCGATAAAATAAAGCAAAATGACGTATAGGAACTCACCAAGAAGGCCAAGGGTCTCGGGCAATTCCAGTTTATTTTACCATGGGTTAAGACAAGAATTTTTCTATCTTATCTGATATTTGCTTTGAACTATCTTGGAACTACCATGCTAGAAGAGTCGCTACGATGTTTCCGAGTAGATAAGTCGGGAAAGAGGAAGCGACTCTGCTGACATCTACAAAATCCATGGATTTGCCGATCATCCCGCGAATTGGATGAGAAAGACAAGTTTCCACAGTTTCATCTGGATATTAAAGCTAAGGATAAACCAGTTTTCCCTGTGCGCGTACGTATTCTGGAGCTTCGCTGACTTTTTCTACGCCCACTCTCCATAACAAAACAAAATGGCTGCCGATTCGATTTCACGCAGTGATTTTGAGAAAATTATCAATTCAATGTTTAGCAAACTGCGGTAGAGCACTAGTCTCATTTTTAGAAAAACAAGAAAATGCACCTCGTCTTCAGATGGATTTGTTTTGAATGAATGACACTATATTTCAACACTCACACTGTAAGCTCATATTAAGAGCTTAGCCGATTTTACTCGGGTGGACGGATCTACGATCCAGTAAATGTTACGTTAGGTGCTCACAAGGATAAAGTAATTGATTTTTGTATGAACATTATCAAGGAATAATTTCTATGTTGGTCAATTCTTCTGTGTATGCTAATTCATAACGTTCATTAAAAATACGATTATGAGAGCAAGGTGCATTTATGGCTCAGTCAATTCCAAGGGTGCCAATCCCCACCCCCTCCCGGGCGTTTGTCAGGCCTTTGTCATCTTGTCGGTCCCGGCGGTGTGGAATTTGTCAGAAAACCTCTGCCCGGGGATGGAACATTTGTCATTTTTTTTTAGACAGCTATAGATATTTCTATAAAGAATACTTTCAATGCTTTGAAAGAGAACTGTGGTTTTCGTTCCATCACCACCCTACCCCACAGTTTTTTTTGCAACCATTTAACAACTTGCTTCCCGCTATCGTGATCAGTTCACACTTGGAAGAAAAAATAATCAATGGTCGTTTGAAAAGTTCAAAGGGAGAGACACTTTATTTGTGAGCAAATGGTTGAGGCAGAAAGGTCCAGAAAAACTCTTCGAGATATTTGAAAGCTAATGTAAACTTCCTGTTTTGTGTGATCAATGCGACGATTAACACGTTGACTGAACGGTTCCTTCGTGATGAGAAAATACGCATGTTAAGCTCGTCGGTTGTTTATTTATCATTTGCTATTTTAAATACCTTCGATAATAAGAAAGGTGTTATTAAAATTGTTGTTTATAGTTCTGTCATTGACATTAATCAGATGGATGTGATCCTTTTTGCAAGATTACAAGCGGCTTGGAACGATTTACGAAGGGTGCTTCACGCGTTTTGATCAGATTATTACAGTTTCCTTTAAGACGGCATTTGCAACTTATTTACTGGAAAATGCAATTTTGATTTTATCCCTGGGTAAAGCATTTGGACACTTTTTAAGTCCCACCGTGAGGCATTCGCAAAAACAACAAAACAAATGTTCGACAAATGCGCGGGGGGATGCGCACCCTTAAAATTGCCAGAGCCATTAATTAACTGATCGATCAGGCACTATTTGAAATTTATTTGCAAATATATTCTAATGGTTTTCTTAGATTAATAATAGAAAATAGAATAATATAAGGTCATTTGCACTTTTTTGGAATGACAACTTGCAGAGGTCTCGCGATCGTTAGTTTAACAGCGACACTGGGTCCTTTTTCTCCTTCTCCCTATCTTCTTGAGAGGCACGGTAAACATTTGAATTTGGAGCATGCTCAATATGAATTGTCAGGCAGTCGGCAGAGGTGTGTTTCTAAAACGAAGACCCAAAAAACGAATACCTAAGACCTAAGACCCATGGACTAAACGGAACGTTTTAGAAACACCCGTCGGCAGAGGCTTCGTCCTCTTCCCGACTCATCTAGGAAGATCGAAAGAGAATCTGTTCGCAGGCTATCTTGACAAACCCGCAGACTAAGTCAAAAGCAGTAATTATGATAATAATGTAAATCAAGGTCTAAAAAAATTTATAGGTCATGGAGAGGAATTCTACTATGAAAGTTCCAGAAGGTGGTGAAGTTGTACAATTTCCGGAAAGAGAACTGGATTTCGACAACGATACCTTAAGAGGTGAAATGAATAGCTCTTTTTTAGACAAGTATAAATTGGAATCAGGGTAATATTATGGGTGACAAATTACTCCTTAATTTTGGCTTGAAATTTCAAAGATAATTTGTAATTTCACTAGCCAAATAAAAAAATAAATGCTATAGCAAGGTTTCTTATCTGTTAGTACTAAGAAGATGGAAGGTATGCCAGAAGTTAGCTTAGTCATTGTGTTCATGCCTGACTGACACGTGAACCTCTATAAGATTTTGATTACATGGATAGATATTACCCCTCCGGTAATGTCCCAGTAAAGCGCTTTTAGTTTAGTCTGGCCCCTATCCAGGAGACCAATATGGCATGGCGTTGCACCTTCCAGGGTTATAAACTCCAGCTGATATGCTTAGTGGGATAGTGAGGGCTCAGACGGACCACACGCTTCCTGGTCACAGTTAAGGCACGGCACCTACCTCAAATTCGTTGACGTTTCATGCAGCTGTGAAATGATGGTGTGCCCCTGTAAAGAGATCCTTGGTAAGCTGTTGTTGTACTTAGGAAAAAAAAATGCCTTCCGTGACTTTCTGTTCTATTTAGCTATAGCTGAGGTGTACAAGAACGAAGGTAATGCGGAATATCAAAAGAGAGAATTCACCAACGCCATACACTTCTATACAGAAGGAATTAATGTGAATTGCAGAGATGATGAACTCAACAGTAAACTGCACAGCAACAGGGCAACTTCTTATTTTTACCTAGGTAAGGTTCTTTGTCAACTCATGTATAGTTGAATAAAAAATCCCTGTATTTCGAATTTAACTGATTTTCGTTTTTTGCTAGGTAATTACCACGAATCAATGAACGATGCAAAAGCTGCCGTTGAAATGCAACCACATTACATCAAAGCTATAGCTAGGGGTAAAGTTTATTGGCATTCAATTTGTAGCTTATATTGGTACCTCCACAGAGAAAAAAAAATATCGGGAACAGTGATCTTAACAACGGTCTTAGAAACCAATTGACGTTTGTTGATTATTTAATTTTTGTTTGCGCTCACCCTATATATACTAAGTCATTGCTTTGCCCATCTTTTGCGGAAGGCAAGTCCAGGTTAATATAAGATTAGAATGGACTCTGAAGTGCCTGTGGTGAGAAGCTTATAACTATATTTCTGAATGCTTCAAAGTAACTAAAGTGTTAAAGGAACTAATTTTTATTCAAGTGCATATCTCTAATAGGTCACTTTCGATACTAAAATTCAGCATGATAGCCAGTCTTGGAGGACACAAACAAAGTTTATTCATTTTTATTCATTTTCTTTGCTTGTGTCTTCTAACACTCGCTATCATGCTGAAGTTTGATATATCAAAAGTGGCCTATTGAAATCTGAGTTCTCAGATGCATTCTGCTTTTAATTTTTAGGAGCTTGCGCTTGCTTTGAACTGGGTCTGTACGAAGAAGCCATCAACTGGTGTGACAGAGGATTAGCAGTATCCTTTTACAACAGATAACATATTTCATTGGAAAAAAATCTGGAAATCTGGACTTTTTTCACGCAGAGGGGCCCATTGATTAAAAGAGTCCATCCGCAAACAATAATTTCTGAACTCGAACAAGAAGTTGAACTGCTATCCCAATGAATAGTTTAGACTACCTTTGCTTGAAACTGCCATTTACTATGGCTGTTAATTTCCTTGAAATCCTACTCTATTGACACTGTCAGTAGAGTGTTTTTTAGCACCGAAGATGAAGCTATAAATACCCTAAAAGCTTCATTCTCTGTAACTATGGCCTTATCGGATAAAGAAATGAAGCAGCTCCTTCAAGGTGGCTCCGTCATAAATAGAGTCGCATTGAGCTATAACGAGCTTTTCTTCATAACCTTTTTGGCTTTAACGTGATGGCTTCGAAACTTTGGAAGGAACTACAAATATCATTCAGCAATAATATGAAATAATCCGATTTTACTGGTAGTAAACATTTTTTTACGAAATTAGCGCTTAAATGGATCCTTCTGTTCAAAGAAAATCGCTTCTAGTAAAAAATTGTGCTGAGTGGTTTCCCTGAAATTTCTCGTATCGGCTTTTATTGATATAATAAGTATGCCATATAGATTTCAAAGAAATCGTTGGAGCAGAAAACCTTAACTAGAAAGTCCTTCGAAATTCTTGGGTGAAATTGTTTTGGAATTTCCAAAACGAATTCAGCTCTAACCACCAATTTGAATTTTCTGGGACTAATGTTTCCAAATTGTTACAACCAAGGCCTATTGTCAATCTTGCTATTCCTTAAGAGGTACTCTTTAGTTTTTGAAGCACTATAAATTGCTCCAAACCTTGCTCTGCAGTCGAATGACTTCCAGATCATATCACATTGTTGCTGAGTGAGCTGTACTGAGTTCTACCAAATTCCCGTCTTAGCCATCGTTTTAATGCCGAAAATGTAATAAAGAAAAGTTCGTCACGCATCGCTCAATGCGCCTATATTAATGACGAAGTTACCTTAAAGCTATTATATCCGTGAAATGAACGTAGACCCAAATTCCATGTATTTGCCTCTCGCGCGCTTACTTTTCACGATATCCCCCAAATGGAAAGCTTGCTCGCAGGCTATAGAATATGTTAGCTAGTCAACTGATCCAGGCAGCTCAAATGATCTGCTCTTGCGGCGCAAAAGGCGATTGGCATTATTAGAAGGGCATTCAGTTGCAAACTATAAGCAGCAAATTAAGAAAATTTTAATTTATAGTCAACAATAGATGTTGCCTGAGTGTATGTTGTGTACCTTAATTCTAAGAAGATTTCCAAAAACCACCAAACGTTGTTGGAGATAAAGAAGAGATCAATGGACGCACAAGAGAAACGAAAAATCCGGTCTACGAGAGAAACTTTAAAAGAAAGTGTAAGACTCAAATACGTGGATCATTATTTTTTTAAAAACTAATTTCAGCACATTTTGCTTACAGTTACCGGTTTGGCGGTATCCTATTTAACCTCGCCGCTCGGGACGTTTCGCATGGACGAACGTCTGCGACTCAGCGACTGAAATTCCATACTGATGACGCAAACCAATGTTTACATAATAAATCTGGTAGTCATGGGGTTCCAAATATAAATTTGTCCAGTTTTATGTGTCTTCTGGTCGGTTTTGGTAAAGTGTTGTGTTCATCCAGCTTAATCTGCCAACGAGCTCCAGCAAAACTCAAATACGGCTTCTAGAGAAGACTATATTCCACAAATATTGACTGTTTTGTGAGAGATTCTTCGCGTTTACATTTGACCTTTGTGGCCTTTGTCTTTTGTCTGTCATTCGTAAACAATAGCTAAAATAATGTATCTACTCCGTCCACCAATCTGCGCTTCTGACCGGATTCCGGACAGATTTTACGTCATCAGTATGGAATTTCAGTCGCTGAGTCGCAGACGTTCCTCCTGGCGAAACGTCCCCAGCGGCGAAGAGCGAGGAGAAATGGATGTTTTCGCAGGCTATATCCTATTCTGTTCCCTCATTATACCTGCTTTTTGATTGTGCACGTTTATGGCACTGGCGCCATTGACATGATCAGGGAGTTTTAGCACAGGCGGGCCTCCGAACTGTTCGAGGCATCATGTGGCCTCATACTGAGCATTAACTGTATTTCGTAACGCCCGCTCTCGGCTTGATCCAAGTGATCGAGCGAAACGCGTCATAAAACTTTGCACCTTTTGATCCCAAATGTTGATATCATGTAAGAATTAAGATACTAAAGACAACTTACCGTATGTTGTAAGTAGTGTTCTGCGTTTTTGTGGGGTTTTCGGTCGCTTGAAGCTGGCACCCCCGACTAATACATACTAGAAGAATCCAAGAAGTGGTCTATTATCAATGCAGCGTTCTGATTGGTTGAGCAACTACCAGGCTATATGTTATAGCCCACTAGTAGCGAAAAGCGCCGGCTTTGAAAACCAAAACAATGGCGGCTGAATCGCGTTTTGCTACAACCTCGGACAAAATCTGTTGAGACACGTTACAAAAATACCTATTTTTTTTTTACCCACCCTGACAAAAATGCCTACCGTCGCAAATTAAAAGACCGTTTCCCCCCTCCCCTTTTGCAATGTTGTTTGCGATAACACAAGAAATGCACACTTGAGCTGTTAGGCCAAAACAACATTGCACCAGGGGTGGGGAGGGAGGCGAATTTGTTCCTTTTGGACACGAAAATTGCATGGCGCGAAATTGAAAATTGCATTGAAGTGTCTCAACAGTTTTGTCCGGGGTTGTAGCTAAAGTTGTGTTGTCTCGATATTTTTGACTAACTTGTTGGATTTTATTAAAACAATTATTCGGCCTCATGGGCTATTGACTCAGAGGCCATGAGGGATCGAGGAATAATTGTTAAATACACTACTAACGCAGAACACGGCTTAAAACAAACCGTAAGTTAGCTTTGTTCATCTTTCTGACATTTTATCGACATTTGGGATCAAAAGGTGAAGCATTTCACCCGATCACTTGAATCAAGCCAAGAGGGGCCGTTACGAACAGAGTAAATGTATAATATCTCATGTCGCGCGTGACATCACGATAACTCGAACAGTTCGGATTTTCGGCCTGTGGTTTTAGCAGGATGTCAGTAAAACGCGGGGTCGGGTTTATCTCTGTTAAAGAACGCTGTTTTAGGGTTAAGTTTAGGGTTACTGTCAACCCTAACCCCGGCTCCGGCCACGACCCCGACCCCACGTTTTACTGACATAATAAAACACTAACTTAAAAGTGCAAGTGCGGATTTGAAGTCGCTACAAAACGTAAATGCCTTGAAGAACGATTTTGTTTGTAAGCACGTGGTTTGTGTACAGACTATTCATTGCCATACGAGTAAGCTCATGTCCTCTTAGAGGACTATTTTAACTATGAAAGCGAAAAATGAGAACAAAAAGAACTGTTACCCATACTCGTTCTCGTCGTCGATGCTAAAAATGACCATTTTATCAATTTTGATAGGAATGTGTCGATCCTCAACCTAACAGGAAAGTCCCAATGATTCATTTCTATGAACGCTGCCTCAAGAATGCCAAAGAAACTGGGGACCATTCTAAAGAAGCAAATGTTTATGGCTCTCTTGGCCACGCTTATTACAAACTGGGAGATTTTAAAACCGCCATCAGCTACTATGAACGATTCCTAAAGCTAACTGGGGATGTGGTCGACATGTCGACAGTGTGTAACGTTTATAGTGGTCTTGGTAATGCGTACTTCAGTCTTGGACATTCAAAAGAAGCAATCGACACGTATGAACGATGCCTAACAGTTATTGCAAAAGCAAAAAGCGAGTGTAGAGAGATTAAGGGGAGCGTGTATGGCAATCTTGGCATTTCTTATCATGAGCTTGGCTTTTTCAAAAAGGCTATATTTTGCTCTGAACGCTCTCTAGAAATTGTCAGAGAAGTGGGAGACATTTCGGCAGAGGCAAGGCTGCTGGGTAGTATTGGCTGCTCATATCGCTGTCTGGGAGATGTCCAAAAAGCTATTGGTTACCATGAACGTTGTCTTACACTTGCAACCGAAGTGAAAGACAAAATTCGAGAAGCAAACGCGTATGGTGACCTTGGCAACGCTTATTACTGTCTCGGAAATTTCAAAAAGGCGGTGTTCTACCACGAGGGCCTCCTTAGAATCTCTAAGGAAAGAGGAGACAGACATGGAGAAGGTCGTGCGTATAGTAGTCTTGGCAACGATTATTCCAGACTTGGAAATTTTCATAAAGCCGTAGACTACCATGAAAGGCATCTAAAACTTTCATTGTTACATAAAGACAGGCCTGATGAAGGAGTCGCTTATAGCAATATTGGAGGCACTTATCACTGTCTGGGAGAGTTCAAAAAGGCCATAGACTACCAAAACCGCGCTCTGGAAATTGCAAAAGAATTGGATAACAAGCTGAGAGAAGGTAAGGCGTATAGCAACCTTGGCAGCGCTTTTTTTAGACTTGGAGATTATAAAAAAGCTATAGACTGTCACCAAAAGCGTCTAAAAATTGCCAAGGAACTGGGCGACATGTCTGGAGAAGGAATTGCTTATGGTAGTATTGGCAACGCTTACTTACAACTTGGCAATTACCTCAGTGCCAGAACCTATTATGACCTCCGTTTGAAAATTGCTCAAGCTGTGACAGATAGAGCTGCAGAAGGGCGCGCTTATGGTCACCTTGGGCATGTTTGTTGTGAACTCAAAGATTACACCAAAGCGATAGATTACTATGGACTTCATCTTAAAATCGCCCAAGAAGTTAAAGAAAGGGCTGTAGAAGGAAAAGCATATGGTAGTCTTGCTAAGGCTTATCTTTGTTCTGGAAATAAACTTGAAGGCAAGCATTATGCGGAACTGCATCTTAAAATCGCCAAAGAAGTGGAAGATAAGGTTGAGATAGGAAACGCGTATTTCACCCTCGGTTCCATTTTTGAATCGACAGATTCCCTACACGAGGCTCTCGAATATTTTCGGGCCAGCTTAAAGGCGTTTTATGATGTTAGGGATCGTCTTGAATCAGAAGATGAATGGAAAATCAGCCTACGAGAACTGTACCATGACATATTCACTTCTTTGAGTAGGATTTTGTTGAAACTGGACAGGCCTGTAGAGGCTCTTTGTGCTGCTGAGGAGGGACGAGCGCAAGCTTTAAAAGATCTTTTGAAATCCCATTATGGAATTCAAACAACTGACGCGAATCAAAGTGCGGAGAAAGAGACACCTGATGAAACACTTTGTGGCATTCCGTGCAACACAATTTTTCTTGCTTTCCAAGTAGGCGTTATAAATACATGGGTTATTCAAAATGACAATAATGTACACAAAAGAGCAAAAAAAATCGGAGATTTTAACGCACTGGGCGACTTTCTCACTTCCGTCAAGAGATTAGTTGACAGTACGTTTGATGCCATTGGTGTAAGAGGTACTATAAAATGCGAAGATCGCTCGCTGGAAAAACTGCACAGTCGCAGTAAGGCTCTGGACCAGGAGCCCCCGTGTGATAAAACATCGTTGCGGTCACAGGAACAGCAGTTAAGGAGATTATATGATCTCATAATCGACCCGATAGCAGACCTGATTCATGGTGATGAGATAATCATTGTCCCTGAGGGTCCATTGTGGTTGGCTCCCTTTGCTGCATTCATGGACGCAAATTCAAGTTTTCTGTTTGAATCGTTTAGAATAAGGGTTACCCCGTCGTTGACAGTCTTGAAAATGATCAGCGATCGTCCGACAGATCACGTCAAGCCTTCTGCGTTGCTTGTGGGAGATCCTTGGGTGCAGGAAGTTGTTCCTGCCAGTGGGATAAAGCTGGAGGAGTTGCCAAGCGCCAAAGACGAGGTAGATATGATTGGCAAAATTCTCGATTTTATACCCCTAACTGGTAAAGACGCTTCGAAGAATGAAGTGTTGAAACGGCTCTCAACGGTTCAGCTAGTACACATCGCGGCGCATGGTCGAATGGAAACTGGAGAGATTGCCCTGTCTCCGAACCCTTCACGAGAATCCAAGATCCCTAAAGATGAAGATTATTTGTTAACGATGAAAGATGTGCTAGACGCAAAGCTGCAAGCGAAGTTGGTTGTGCTTAGTTGCTGTCACAGTGGTCGCGGGGAGATCAAGGCTGAAGGTGTGGTTGGTATCGCGCGTGCATTTATAGGCGCCGGTGCTCGTTCTGTTCTTGTGACACTGTGGAACATTGATGACGAAGCTACGCTGGAGTTCATGAAACACTTTTATCAACATCTGGTGAAGGGTAAAAGTGCCAGTGAATCTCTGAACCGAGCCATGAGATGCATGAGGGAATCTGAAGACTTCAGTGAAGTAAAATACTGGGCTCCATTTGTACTCATTGGAGATGATGTAACTCTGCAATTCTGTGGAAGTAGCTAGATGTCCTACGTAGTAAGTACCAGGTAGGTGAAATACGAAAACAGTCTCAGTGCTTTTAAAATGAAAAGCACTTATTAACGTCAGTTTGTAAGGGTAAAAAAAATAAAGAAGAGGAACAGAGAAAGAAAGACGCAACTGAAGAAGGGAAGATATAGTTTAACTAACCACACGCCTTTTATTTTAAAATAAACTTTGCTCTATCGAAAATTGTCAAAAACAAGCAGATAAAATTGATCAATTAATTGATCGATACACTTTTATTTGAACACGGTAATTTCATAAGTTACACAAGTTCTTTATGTGAAAGCCGTATTGGGACAGAAGTAAATACTACAAATACTTTAAATAGAGACGACAAAATCTATAGTCAACAGTTTGCTTGCCTATTGGCCAGTTTTCTTCCAAAAATAGCTTTTGTTTCGGATGCCTTTATTTCGGTTGGTTATGAATTCCACAGAATTCCTCCTCCAATCTCTAACCACAGGCGGCGGTTCAGGGGAGGGGTCAGGGGGTCCGTAGCCCCAAAACATAAATTTTTTGGTAGGGGCGGGGGGACATTGTTAGGAGAGGTCAACAAAATCTTACGAATATATCTGACATTATACCAGACTTTGAAGGCTTCAGAGTGCACATTTTCTGCCCTCAAACGACTCAAGGACCGCACCTAAGAAGCACCATGAAGCAGGACCGCCAGAACAACTTCCTACTGATGCATTGTCACAAGTTGATTACGGACACACTAGACACTGTCAGTGTGGAGATCGGAAAAAGGGTTGCTTCTGCTAACGAGAAAAGTGCGCGAAGGGTATTTTGGAAAATTTGAGTAGGGGTATGCCATTGCTGAGTGAAAGATGATCCCGCCTCCTTTCAAAACGCTCCGCTGCCTCTGCTAACGTGAGTTAGGTCACTGTTTACCTTAGCACATGCATAGTTCAGCAGTAAACCAGTTCCGGTAACTCAATGTTGTACCCAATTCAAATCTCCCGGGGTTAAGATTCTTTGTGTATTATCTTTGCATTATAATGTGGCATTGACATTTAAATGATATGGGAATTTCTGAAACAAAACGTTTTATTCCCAAAGGGCTTTAATTGGGTACAACATTGAGTTACCCCCAATAGGTCTGTTGATAGGGAGGATGCATATATTGTGGTGTCATCAGCATACATATGTGCGCATGCCTTGGTATACTGAAGACAACCAGGGAGATCATTGGGTCGATGAGTTAGCATTTTATATAAGAATACACTGGTTCGGACAGAACCACACCATACGTTTATCTTAATTTCATTCTTTTTCTTATAGGAGATGTCCAGAAAAGCCCTTATCTGAATATACAAGTCATGTGATTCGAAAAAGGAGTTGAGTCCGCTACTGAAATGCAAACTATGTCCTCCTCCTGAGATTCGTTTTGTACGTAGAAAACATGGGGAAGAGTTTTAAAACTAAAATTCAAAAAGGATAAACTTTTCCTTTTTAGTTGTTATAGGTGTAACATGTCTCTTACAATCGTATTAATGAGTAAATTGTAATTTTTAGCAGCTGGTACCTTTTTACTTGATGAAGTTTGTATTCAGAAACCTTTTCCTCAAATTGATTCGTGGACCAGTTAACGCAGTTTCAATTGTTGGCAGAAACGGACAAAAATAGATGTTGATAAAAGCGTTTATTTGATACCATACAAGAAACTAAACGTTAAAGAAACGTAAATACATGAAATAAAACGGAATATGGTTTTAGACTATTGCATTGCAGTCCAGTTTTGTACCTGAAGACATTAGTAGTCTTGACCCATCATCTCCTAATCCCTTGAGAAGAATTAAATTAAACGCTTAAATATCCTCACTTCCACCCCGCTGACCCTGACAGGCTGACAAGCTGATAGGCAGACTGGTAGACTTGCTCACAAGTCGAGCGTGCCCGGTTCTACCACACCAGCCCAGAAAACCAAGCGAACGACTTTGAGAAAGTCTAGTAGACTGGCAATAAAGACTGAAAGAAAGCAAACTCACTTTTTAAGCGCCATTCTCGTTGCCGTCCAGTCGTTGGCTCTTGTTAGGTGAGCAAAGAGCTACCGTAAACAACCCTCTATAAGCCCTGCTTCGAAGGGGGTTTTACTAAGGCTTGAAAAATGGAGGAGAATATAGACAAAACGCTTCAAAACAAGCTGTAGCAGTGCTGATTAAAAAACGTTTTAATCAACGCCTCCAAACGTCATAATTTAATAAATCGAATCCTATTCGCCACTTTAGAAAATACCATAATAATCTTTTTGTCCCCTCGAAAATTTTGCATAACCATTGTTTTCAGTTGATCGTCCTAAAAGAAACTGAAAACAATGGTTATGCAATATTTTTGGGGGGGAGGGGGGAGGGGGGCGGTGGGGAGGCAAAAAAGATTATTATGGCGAACTCATTACATTGAAGGTGGGCTTATATCTGGGGTGGAGAGTTGTTTTAACACGCTGTAACACACTGTTGCACCGTGTAACACCTTGTAACACGATGTAACACTGTAACACCGTGTAACACATTGTAACACCCAGTAACACCATGTAACACCCTGTAACACCGTGTATAACACCATCTAACTTCATGTAACACCCTGTAACTCCATGTAACACACTGTAACACCATCTAACACCCTGTAACACCATGTAACACACTGTGACACAATGTAACACCATGTAACACCCTGTAACACCGTGTAACACCCTGTAACACCGTGTAACACCATGTAACACCCTGTAACATCATGTAACATCATGTAACACCCTGTAACACCTTGTAACACCATGTAACACCATGTAACACCTTTGTAACACCTCCTTTTCCGGTAGGTGCAACAAACACATTTTCTGAGCTTATCCAACCACTCATAAAATTGCCGAACTGTGTTTTGAAATTCTACAATTTATCCGAAGCGCTCGGCTTTTACTCCCCCTTCGAGGAGCAGGCACAGGCTTTGTTGGCGTACTGCCACTTCCACTCACTTTTGATCCTCCTTGTTATATACTCATTTCACAGAGAAGCGATGCTAAAAACTGCTTTAGAATTACTGGATACATCGTCAAGGTTCGAAGCCAAGTGCAGACAATAACACGCGCTATTCTCCCTCGAAATCAGTTACCGAGTGTATCAAATTCACAAAGAGGGTGGAGTTGTAAACAGATTTTTGACAGCTCGACGACATTTTTAAACTCCCTGGACGGAACGAACTCATTGTATGGAAAACGGACAGTCGGTTTTTTTCGACTCGCGCGCTTTGCGCGCGTAAGACTCTTACAGCACGCCTTACCGATTTCTTTATTGACTAATTTTGAGAAAAAAACGCGACTGTTTTGCAGTCAAGGTGCTACACGGTGTTACAGGGTGTTACAAGGTGTTACATGGTGTTACAGGGTGTTAGACGGTGTTACAGGGTGTTACATGGTGTTACACGGTGTTACAGGATGTTACATGGTGTTAAATGGTGCTACACGGTGTTAAAGAGTGTTACAGGATGTTACATTGTGTTTCAAAAGAAATTTCTCCTTTTTGTCTAGTTTTGGGCTGCGCGGGGTTTTTGTCAAAGGGTCCTAAACAGCCGTATTTGTCAGCATTGTGACGTCAAAACAAGCACGGTGACCTCCACTGTTTATTACCTTTTTATCATCCTCTTGACTTGTTACAAGTATAAAGGCCGATTTGTGTAAAAAAAATTTGGTTTTAAAATATTCGAATTCGCTTCACGGGGCCTTGAAAAAGCCGAAAAAGAATACGTTCTCCAGAGTACATCACTTGAACTTTGTATGTCTCAAAAAGTGATAGCACGTTGATTGCGCTTTGCAAAGCACTTCCGTCCGAAGAATGGTATCCAGTCTTTTCCGTTAGTACGCGGTTACCAAGTACTTACCCTATAAAATAAAACTTCTTGCATGTGGCTGTTTTGTCGTGTTGGTAGCTCTCGGCTTTCTTCATTTCCTCGTCGTTTTTCAGGTTCTCCTGTAGTTGTTTTACGTTCAGTGATGGACAGAGCATCCCTCTTCCAGAGCATCGGTCTAAGTGAACAGAAAACGCAAGAAACACTGAAGAATGAGGCTCTTTCTACACGACTGGAATCCATCATAAATTTGGTAAGAACGTAACATCTTGTTCATTTCTTTGATTTTTGTACTCAACAGGTAAATGCAAAATTGATCTCGAATTTCTGTTGTAATCGGAAGAAATTTTGTGAAAAAAAAACTGGCTTGGACTTTTTGCAACGCCGGTGTGGAAATAGAACAGAAACCTCTTGAGATGAAGTGAAACGACTTTAATCGAACTTGGAGCTGATGCAATAGTGTGCAAGGTTAAGGTTAAGGTTAAGCTTATGTGTAGACTCGAAGGTTTCTTCTTGATTTTTGTTCGCATCGTGATTAAGAGGAAAACAGTGCTACGGAGTAACGTGACATTGGGAATGATTGCAGAATACCCGGCCTAAATTACAGAACAAAGGATATCCTTGTCTCGACTCATTTCCATCTCATTAAGCCAAAAAACAGTACATAGACATAATTACACATAGACATTGTTTATTTTACGACGAGGAGCGCAGGAGTCGCAAGTCGTTAAAACGCTCCCAAAGTGTTCTTTAAATATAGTTAGTGTAGTGTTGGTCTGGTCTCTCAGAATTCATTCTCTTCTTAGCAGGCTAGCAGCTCTCAAAGTGTCATTTAAATATAGTTAGTTTAGTGTTGGTCTGGTCTGGTCTCTCAGAATTCATTCTCTCTCCTTGTCAGATTAGCAGGATGTGCTACAGGGGTGTACATGTACTAATAATATTTGAAGATTGTACCAGGAATAATAATATTAGAATACTTTTTTTGGTGTCTTTGTTTGTTTACAAAAATTTGTATTAATGTTTTCATGAAAGGCAAAAGAAACTAGTCCTGGTGATATTGAAAAACCTACTGGAGTGCTTTTGTACTCTCTGGCTAGCGGTGGTGTAAAGGAAGATTGGCAAGTCAAGTTTGTCGCAGAGTACATTGCTAACAAAAAATTGAATTCATCAATACAGTTGACAGGTGTGTAGAACATATACTATTACACTAAGCTTCAAGCAGTTGCTATTAACATTTTTTTTCCTCAGATGTGGAAGTAAGTTAACCCAAGGCTGCAAATAATTTTTTTTTGTAAGCAGGTCATTTGTCAGGTCAGAGACCAGACCTGATCTGACAAGGAAACAGTCTGGTCGGACAAAAAAAAATTCCTAGTGAAAGAGCAAAATTAAGAATTCAAGAAAACAA